TCAGGGACGGCCTCTCCTTCTCGCGGCGAATCAAATCCACCCGCTGGTCCAAGGAATAGTACGACTCGATATCAGGGAACTCTTCTCCGTCGGCCATCTCGTCGGCTAGGAAGGAAGGATCGCCACCGTTGCTCAGGAACGTGTAGCTGGTCCACATGCCCGATGATCCCTTCGTGGCCGTCGACCTGCGTCGTTCCTCCACAAGTCGATCTCATTTGGACTTGTAAGGCTCGCGGCAATTCTCGGCCCAGTGGCCGCGGTCTCCACAGTTCGCACACCTCGTCTTTTTCTTCAAGTCCGCCGAAGTGATCCTGCGATAGCCTGGCCGGGAGCTCTCTTCCGGTCAAAGAAGTCCCGATCGACGCGTCTGGCGGCCTTCTGCTGTCGAGCGTCCGCCCACGTCCTTCTCTTCTGCTTGCCGGACTTCTCCTCAATAATAGCCGCCAGCACGGGCATCAGGTCGTGCTCGTCTGAACCCCCCTCGTCTAGGGCCTCCAGGAACCCCGCCGCATCCTCCTCTGGCAGCTCGAAGGAGTCGTCGGAGTTGGCGTAGAATGAGGTATGGGGATCCGGCGGCTCAGGCATTCCCACGTCGGCGTCCTCTTGGACGTGGTTGTCGGTCTTCTCGCTCACGTAGCTCTTGGAATTCACTTGTCCTGGCGCAACGCCTGCCCCCGGAAGCACGCCACGTTCCCTGACGTCGAGCAGAAGAAGACCCTGACGAATGGAGGCCAAATCCTTCTTTCCGCTCACGAGTGTCCTCAGGTTGATCTTATGTCGAGGCGTCAGGTTGGCACCCTCCTCGAGATATCTGGCCTTGATCGCGTCGGGCAGCTGAAGTCCATAGGTCTCGGCCTCGCTCACTTGAGCGCCCCGACGCAGCACGTAGTCCGTGAGAGCTTCACCTCGACGAATTGCATAGTCGAAAGAGTGCCATGTTCTGCGCCTCGCGCTCTTTGTCTTCGGGACGCTCGCCGTTCAAAACCGACAAATGATCTAGCAATCTTGAAAAACCATCGTCGTCACCTGGAGAAAACCGAACCATTCTGAACTTCATCTGCATGTCCACGGGAAGCGTCTCTGGAACCTTGCCCGCTGGAATTCCTCTAGCGCAGCCCGTCTTCGCCGACCACGCCTTTAAATTGGAACGGAACAAATCCAGATGCTCAAATCAATCCTAGCCATACAGGTGGAGCTCCGACGTCCCTGTTCGCATTGGCCTGTCGATTGCCCCCGGACCACCACCCCTGCTGGTCCATCCAATCGGCCATCGCGGGACCATAATACCAGTCTGCGTATTGCCATACTCTGTCGTCCCAGCCTGTCCAGTCCCATCCCCGCCAGTCCTGGCCTGAGGTCTCGGCGGGGGCTGGCGTCGGATGAGAGCGGTCCTCTCGTTCACTCTGTAGCAATATTGCGTCTAGATCCGCGATTATCTGCTCCAGCTCTTCACGGGGTCTGGGTTGTTCTGGACCTGGCGTGCCCGAGGACAGGTCACCCATCTGCCCCTCAACCTCCGCTCCGCTTACCATTGTCCCAGCCTGTCGAGGCAGAACTCGGAGAAGGGCGGGATCTGAAAAGGGCGAGCGGGGGACTCCTTCTCTAGACACCATCATGTCTCTAAGCCAAAGGCTGCGGGCACGAACGCACGGGCTGAAGCACGAAGCGGGGTAAAGGGGGAACGGAAGGGAGGGAAGATCCCTGGAGGTCCCCGGGGTCCCTGGGACGAGGGTCCCAGGGGAAAAGTGGGACAGAGGAAGAGAAGAGAAGAAAAGGGCGAGGAGGAGGAGGAAGAAAAAGGAAAAGAGGGCCAGGAGAAGGAGGACGAGGGGGACGAGGCTCGTGGACTGGGGCGCACGCCCCCCTCGCCCGGGGGCAATGGGGGGCAGTCTGGGGATCGCTCTCCTCGGGGGCGGCCCGGAGGGGGGGGGGGGATGACTGAGGGGCCGAACATCATGGCCAGGGCCATGACATCTCCACGCACGTCGTGGCTCCCCTGCTCTTGCAGGGGGGCAGAAAAGAGCCACCCTCTCAAGGAGCACCCCGACGAGCGCGGCCTGCAGCAAGCGCACCCGAGGGAGGGATCGAAAGGATGCTCCCAACGGCAAGCGCCCTTCTAACACGCAAGGAAATAAAGCCCAAAGAGGCGATGTTCAGGGCTCCAGAGGGGCGACGCTGTTAGGCCACCACCTTCTAAGATTGACTTCCCCGAATATGGTTACACGGGGGCCCCCTAGGCTCCCCAAAGAACCCCAAGGGCACCCAAAGAGAACCCTAAGATGGCACAATTTAGCTACTAAGAGGCTCCCATCTCGAAAGATAAGCTAAGGCAGTTCTAGCTGATATCTGGACCTGCTCGGGCTGATCCTGAGCTTCGGTCGGGCTGCAACCCCATCCCCCCCATAGTCCCACTGATTGATCCGACTCTTCCCACATCAAGGCAACCCGCCTGGGCATCGTTCCTGGATGGGCAGGTGGGTAAACGCGAGGCGTCAAGAAAATCGACCTCCGTTCTGAAACTGTTCGCCATCGTTGCGGAGGGGCACGACTTCCTCTTTTGGCGCTTGTCGGAAGCTCGGAGGCCTCTTTGTCCGACGACTGGGCCTCTCGCTCCTCATGTCCTGCTCCTCCTCGTACTGATCCTCCCCCGCTCCCTCCTGCGCCTCCTGCGCCTCCTCCGGCAGGCGGGAGAAGACTAGGACTAGGACTAGGACTAGGACTAGGACTAGGACCCGGACTAGGACTAGGACTAGGACTAGGGCTAGGGCTAGGACCAGGACTAGAACTAGGACTAGGAAGATCACGAGGATAACCGCCTCCTAATGTAGGATGGCGACTGGAACAAAAACGGGGGAGAAATACAACATGGCTGTCTGCCTCTAGAAATTTTGAAAAGGGCGGTCAAATAATCTCGATGGTAACGGTGCCCACGAGTAGGCCCAATCGCCAATCCCACCAGCCCCCTGGGCGGAGGTGGTATGACGAGACTGTGTACTCCCGCTTCCAAAACCCTGCCGTCCCCGATTCGGGGAAGGGGGTGCCCCTCCATGATTAAACAGCATAACCGCATGAATACTACTCCCCCTCCTCCCCTGAACTTGTCCGGCAGATCTCCCGCCACCTCCGCGCGCTGTGTTTACACAGGATTTCAAACGTTGAGTTGTATCATGGCTTGTACTATCCAATAATTCCCCGGTGTTTCGAAATGTTGTTCCCGCTGCAGCGTAGGCCTCATTTTCGGATCAGCTAAATGCTCCCGTCGTTCAGAATGGCGCTCTCGCCCAAGCGCGGGCCACTTTTCTGGATCTAAGTCTTGATTGTGGTCTCCCCCATCATTTCCCTTCCTGTTCGTCTCGCCCCAGCGTGGGCCGCTTTTCTGAATCCGAATCTTCATTCATCATGGTCGCCCCCCTCATTTCCCCTCCTCCGCCGTCCCCTGGTCCTCCTCTCCCTCCCGATCGTTCCGCTGTAGTTCCTGCTGCTGCTGTTCGTCATCCTCATTCATCTCCTACGGCTCATTCTCCTGCTCCCCCGCCACCTCCTCCTCCTCCTCCTCCTCCTCCTCCTCCTCCTCCTCCTCCTGTGCGCGCAGCTCCAGTTCCCGAGTGCGCATAACACGAAGTGGTCGGCAGGTCGGCCATGGCATGACACGCGTCCGCGGATTGAGAAAGGGAGGGAGGGAGGGATAGGATGTCAAATGAGGCGCGAGCGCATCTAGCTTGCCCTACACCCTCTCCTGGCTCTGAACGGGGGGGGGCGCGGATCGTTGGAGTGTCCAAGAGAGCCCAAAATGGCTCCAATAGGGTCTCAGAGAGCCCAAGATGGCATCCAAGATAATTCATGATATCCAAAGATGGTGGCTCACGATGGCATCTGAGGTTCCAAAAGGATTCAAGACCGCTCCAAGACGGGCTCAAGTGGCCACAGAACCCCCCAAACAGGTCCCCCCAGAGGCCCAAATCCTTCAAAAGCCAAATGGAACTCGATGTAGGTTGCATTATCGCTGTTTCGCTTCCGACTGCAGTCCGAGGCCTCAAGATGTCTCCGAGGGGGCCCAAGAGAGCCACAAGAGAGGCTCTAGAGGGCCCCGAGAGTAGCAAGGAGCTCCCCAAGAATTCCCAAGAGGGCTCCAAGACGCAAATGCTCGGCCTCTAGTTTCAGGGAGCCTCGCTATTTTAAACCATGGAGCCTAAGATGGCCAAGAGGCCCCCCAGGGCCCCCAGGAGAGCCCCAAGAGAGCCAAGAGGGCTCCGAGAGACTTCCCAGAGGCTCGCGAAACAAAAGCTACGCGGAAACTTTCATGATTGACTCGTCCTCGTCCTCGTCGTCGTCCTCCTCCTCCTCAGCCTCGTCCTTGTCGTCGTCGTCGTCCTCGTCGTCGTCATCGTCGTCGTCGACTCCTTCCTCCCCAATCCTATTCCTCTGTTCGTCCTTGCCCAACCTCCTCGTTATCCTGTTCCTCGTTCTCCTCCTTCTCCTCCTCCTCCTCCTCGTCAACCTCCGTTTCTTCCTCCGTCCTCATCCCCATTGCAAAGATGGCGGCCACCCAGCACAAACATTTGGTTTGACGGCTTCCCCGTTCCACGTTATGCCCCCTCGCCTCCCTGATCAAAACAACTAGCCAGGGCCTGCACCGCTGCACGCTTCTCAATGTGCGTTTCTATCCCATTGTGAGATTCCATGATTCGCTACACCGTATAAAACAGTCTTGGACAGAGAAGAGCTACGGGCGCAGCGCGGGCGCAGCCGGCCAGGTTAGGGAGGAGGGGGAGGGAGAGGAGGACGGGAGGGAGGAAAGGAGGGAGGAAAGGAGGGTGAAAGGAGGGGGGGGAAGGAGGGAGAAGAGGACGGGAGGGAGGAAAGGAGGGAGGGAAGAGGGGGAGGGGAGCGGAGGGAGGGGAGGGAAGAGGAGGAGGAAGGAGCGGCCAGGAGGAGCAGGGAGGGAAGGGGGGAGGGAGGGGGAGGGGAGCCGATCGCGGGACTGCACCTGGGCCGCGGGCGATGCGTCCAGCCCCGCGTCGCCGAAGACCGAACGGACGATGCCCTGCGCGCGCCGTCCCAGCCCCCTCTGGTTGCATGCAGGGCGTCGGCCCCTGCCCGCGGCGTGCCGGAGTGCTGGGGCGGGGAGGCCGCGAGCCCGAGGGGTGCAGCGGACAGCGGGCAGAGGCCGTGGCCCCGCCCGAGGCCAAGGGCTGCCGGTCATGCCCGCTGCGTCTCGGCTCTCCTGGGGAGGAGGTCCGACGACCCGAGGCACACAGAGGACATGGATGCAGAGACTGTCCGTGGGCTGCCCGCCCTTCTGGGCAGCTCACCTCGCCCCCGTCCCATGCCCGTTCGTCCCCCCTCCGTCTGCCCCCCTCTCAGTTTTACACTGCCCAGGCGATGATCAGCCACGGTCGTCGCGTCCTCTTCCTCATCCCCCTTGTAGTTCTTCTCCTCCTCCTCCTCCTCCTTCTCCTCCTCCTCTTCTTATTATTTTTAGTAATACTATTAGTAGTATTAGTATTATTAATATTAGTAGCAGTAGTAATATTATTATCAGCATTAACATTATTATACTTGTTAGCATTATTCTTGCGAATATTATTCGTAGTGCTATTGTTCCTAGTCTTGGTATTATGCTTAATACTATTCATATTCGTATTACTATCATTAATACTATTATTACTGATATTATGATTAGTCGTGTTCTTCTTTTTCTTCCTGTTCGTAATATTAATAGTATTATTCGTCGTAGCTTTGTTTGTTAGCATCATCTGTATTAATATCAATATGAATATTCGTATCATTAATGAGTTTATTAGTCGTAGTAGTAGTATGATCATTGTTACTGTTCTGATGTTTAGTCTTACTAATAGGAGTATGGGTATGGGTATTGTTCCTAGTGTATTAGTAGTAATAATAAAAGTAGTGTGTTGATGTGTCGTCCTATTAGTCGTTTCATTCGTATGATTAACATCCCTATTATGAGTAGCAGCAGTAGTAGTAGTAACGTTCTTCATGCTATTACTAATAGTAGTAGTCACAATAGTCTTTGTCTTCGTTTCAGTACTATTAGTAGTATGAGTATGCTTCTGATCATTCGTAGTATTCCTCTTTTGCTTATTATCAGTCGTCGTATGAATAGTGTTAGTATTCTGTTTTTCTATAATTCGTAATAATATTCGTCCGATTTGCATTATTAATTGCAATCGTAATCGTAGTATCAACATTCGTTTTGTTAGTAGGTCTTGTCTCCGTAATTTCATTATTATTTATCATAATATGTTTATACCCTACCTAGGCTCTGCCTAGAAGGGTTCTTACTCTGTTGGCTTAAAGGGGCCGGACAGTGTAAATCGCCCCAGGCGGTTCCCCCGGTCCCCTGGGAGCCAAGCACAAGCAACAACAAAGGTAAAAGCAAACGCGTGGTTCCCCCAGTTGCGCCCCCTGGGTGCCAAGCAAAAGCAAAAGCAAAGGCTAAAGTGAAGGCAAAAACGAAGGCAAAGCAAAAGCATAGCCTAGCCCAGCATAGCATTGCGCAGCATAGCATAGGGCAGCATAGCGTAGCAGATCATAGCATAGCCTAGCCTAGCCCAGCATAGCATTGCGCAGCATAGCATAGCATAGCATAGCATAGCATAGCAGAGCAGAGCAGAGCAGAGCATAGCGCAGCACAGCATCCACTACGACGATGAGGAGAACGAGGAGGACGGCGCTTACCGCTCCTACTAATGTTGCTTTCCTAGAGGCTCCAACTCCTAGGTAAGGTCGCACTGGGATAATTGTTTCTTCTTATGATTACGAATATTAAGATTATTCCTCCTCCTCCTGCTCCCCCTCCTCCCCCTCCTCCCCCTCCTCCTCCTCCCCCCTGGGGGAAATACAAAAAAGATACCCATACCAACACTCCCGGGACCTCTCCCGGGCTCCAGAGGGGCGGCCTGTGCCAGCGCCTCGCGCTTCAGCGCCATGCCCCTCCCCTCCAGGGCCCTCTTCTCGGCGTCGGCCTGCGCGCGCGCGCCCGCCGAGTGCCGAGACCGAGCCAGGACGAGGATAGAACATCGAGGATAGAAAATCGAGGGAAGAGGATAGAAAATCGAGGGAAGAGGATAGAAAAATCGAGGATAGAAAATCGAGGATAGGACCGAGCCAGGACGAGGATAGAAAATCGAGGGAAGAGAGGTCGAGAATCTCTGAGGTCCGCCGGCTCTGGAGCATGTCTCGGGTGCCGCAGCCTTCTCGGAGCGTTCCGGAACGCTCCAAGAGCGTTCCGGAACGCTCGTGGTAAGCGATAAAAGTACCCCTCGCCAGTTGGGAGGGGACCTGCGTTAGGAGGGCCGAACACATCAGGGATAAGGGGGTCTTGTATGCAAATGCGTCAGGCCAAACCGCCCAGATGTATCATCCCTACTGCGAAGACGGGGACCTAACTGAGGCCCCGTCTGCATCCTATTCTTAGGATTAGGGGTTCTTTTGTTCTCGATGAGCTTTGGAACGGATTTAACCTCGTCCCAGCCCCGTCCGAGAGGGCCCCAAAACGGCCCAAGAGGATCCCAAAACAGCCAAAGAGGCGCCCAAAACGGGCCGAGAGAGCCTCAAGACGGCCCCGAAAGGGGCCCAAAAGCGGGGACACGAACAGAAGATCTGAGCCTTCCGCCCCAAGAGGCCCCCAGGAGGCCCCAGGAGGCGCCCAGGAGGCCCCAAGAGGCCTCCAAGAAGCCCCCAAGATGCCCCCAGGAGGCCCCAGTAGGCGCCCAGGAGGCCCCAAGCGGCCCCCAAAAGGCCCCCAAGAGGACCCCAAGAGCCCCAACGGAAGCTCCAAGAGGCCCCCAAACGGCCCCCAAGAGGCGTCCAAACTGCCAACATAAAATAGGCGCCAAACCCACAACCCAGGCACTGTGGCGGGATGGGCCGAAGGTCATTCGATTGATAGATGCTGTGATCAAATTCGATCGATTGAAAGATCGCGAATCCGATCCGGCGCCAACCGCCAACCCAAACCTGCACCCATCTCCCCCCCACCACCCTCATCCGAAGGGTGGCCCTACAAGTACACCTCCCTGGCGAGGCCAGGAGGTCGTGAGGACCGCTCCTGGGCACTGCGGCCAGGATCCGTGAGATGGGCAGCTGACGTCCCCCGAAGGGTGGGCGAGCGACCTGACGTCCACTCCCTGTCGGGAGCGGCCCCCTGCTGGCAGCCAAGATAGACTGCCTGAGCAAGTCGTGGGTGGTGAGGCGTGTGGGACAAACCAGACGCGAATCGTGAGTTCTATGTTGTTCCCATCGTACTTGAAGACTTCATCCCAGAAAGAAGTCCGAACACCCAGAAAAAGTGTCGAAACAGTGTCTGCCCAAAACGCTAGCGAAGAGCCGACCTGGTATCACATCGAAGGGCCCGACACGTGAGATCCGTCCAGTTTGGGCACGTTCCTGGTGCTCGAAATTCGTCCTGGCGCTCCAGGCCAGAGCGGGTCGGAGAATCAGAACAGGAGTAGAGCAGTGGCCCAGATCTCGGCAGGCCCGTCTGCTCGCCTCCAGGCGCGCGCGCGCGGAGCCCGGGCCTGCGGCAAGAGGGGGGGGGGGGGGGGGCGAGTCTGCTGCGCCTGCGGCCTGGCTTCTCGGGCACCCCTTCCCAAGGGCGCCCAGCTTCGCGCTTCGCGCTGCGCGAAGCGCAGAACAACCTCGCGCGCTGGCGCCGCCCCCGAGGGCAAAAACGGAGGACGGAAAGAGTCGGAGCCGGACCGCGAACCGCGAAGCGCGCACAGCGTCGCGCCCTGGAGGGCGCCCTGCGCCCTCGGAGAGCGCCCACCGTTCGAGAGCGGTCGATCCTGGGCCACTTGCAGCGCTCCGCCGTGGCACGGCACGAACCTGACCGTGACCCCTTTGCTTCGAGGCTGACCCTTTCGGACCGCCCGACCGGACAGCCAAGAGAAAGCACGCGTTGCTCGTTGCGGCCCCAACCAGAAGAACCCTCCCCTTCTCCCATCACCCGCTTTCCCTACCTGCGTTCCCACCTCCCCCTCCCCTCCTGGTGTCGCCTGCTCTCTTTTGTTTGTTCTCTCTCTCTCTCTCTCTCTCTCATCCCGACAATGTTGAAGCATAGTACTGCCATTAAGTCTCCGGAATAGCATAATCCCACCAGCCCTCTGGGCGTCGGTGGTTTAGGCCGTGTCCTCTTCCACCCCTCCCTCTTCCCCTTCGGGGAGGGGTTTACCCCTCCTCCAACCCCCTCCCCTGGACCTGAACGGGGGGCGACGCGGGTAGTTAAAGCCTCCAAAACGGCCTCGGCGAGGGTTTTGGCCCCATTTGGGCCTCCTGGGGGGGGACCTTAATTGAGGGACCCCCTTTCGTTGACCGATCTCTTCCAAGATGGCCCCAAGAAGCGCCCAGGAGGCCCCACGAGGTCCCAAGATGGCCCCAAGATGGCCCCACGAGGCCCCCAAGACGCCCCCAGGAGGCCCCCAAGAAGACCGTCAGCGGCCCCAAGAGGCCCCCCCCGAAGCACCCAAGACCCCGAAAAGCCCCCCAGGATCACCAAGAGACCCCCGAGACGTTCCAAGAGGCCACCAAGAATCGCCCAAGAGGTACTCCAAGAGGCTCCGAGAGGCATCCAAGAGACCTTTGGCCCTTGTGTTTCCCCTCCGCCTCCTCTTGTTCCTCCCTCCTGTTCCTCCTCCTCCTCCTCCTAGTCATCCTCCTTCTTCCCACTCCCTCATTCATCCATCCATCCACCCCCTCCTTCTCCTCCTCACTCCTTTTGCACGGTTCGGCCGTCCCCCTCTCTGCTGCCGCACTTCCCTGATCACCTCAACTGGCATGGACATCGTTTCTGGATGGGCTGGTGGGGATACTTCGTCAGCGGCCGCAGGCGAGAGCGCCAGCGGCGAGTCCAGTCAGAGCGGGCCGCGCCAAGACGAATTAACCTAAAGCGGTGGGCCGAAGCCTCACACGGCACCTCGGAGGCCAGGCTAACCTGGTGGGGATACGTTTTTTGGTCGGCGGCCGCTCGACAACGGTCTGGCGGCAACAGGCAATGTCCGGGACGGCGGCACAAAGCTAATTGCACAACAAGCGTGCATTTGCACATGCACTGAACAAAATGCGCTGGATTCACAGGGAAACCGAAAACTACAGGCGTGGCAGGCTGAACCACACGGCGCCCAGACCTCAGTAAACCACCTCCCAATGCCAGGTGGAGCCATGCGGATGTGCCCAAGGCGCAACTGCGATGCCGTTCCCTGAAGCGAAGAGATCCGCAGGCGTGGGTAGCACCGCCGTCTAGTGGCGAAGCGCCTGCGCAGGCTGCCAGAAGGGGGGCCCTGCTAGGGATGCAAGTTGTAAGGAAATCAGTGGTTCGACCTTTTCTCTCCAAAACCATTCTTCACGCTCCTCGCGGGCGTTCCGTGAAGAGCAGCGGCTTTGAAAGCATTGAAATTAGATCTTCTGAATTTCAATAACTCTCAGCTTGAATCCTTCTGAATTTCAAGAACTCACAGCCTTAAGCTTTCTGAATTGCAATAATTCAAAGCTCGTATTTCACTTCAATATCATGAATTACCCTGCTATTTCAATAATTCAGATCCAGAATTTCTGGAATCGCGTTGGATTTCATCACCGTCGTCGCATTTCACAAATCGCACACATTGCCCCCCCCAACAAGAAAGCCCATGTGAACAGAGAGCGCGAGCTTACTCACGGCTCGAACCCGCAGGTCCGAGCTCCAGCGCAGAACGTCATCTGGCCTATCAGAGGAACAGGGGAAGCGACCGGCCCCTCCCGCGGCGTCGCTGGCGATCTGGGCCGAACGCCGACGAAGACGACGACGAAGGTTAACGACAGCGACGACGACGAGACGACGACTGACGACACTGACGAATTGACGACTGCGACACTGACAACGACACGACCTACGACTCCTCCTCCTCCTCCTCCTCCTCCTCCTCTTCCTCCTCCTCCTCCTCCTCCTCCTCCTCCTCCTCCTCCTCCTCCTCCTCCCCCTCCTCCTCCTCCTCCTCCTCCTCCTCCTCCTCCTCCTCCTCCTCCCCTCCCCTCCCCTCCCCTCCCTCCCTCCTCCTCCTCCATACTCCTCCTCTCATCCTTCTCAGTTATCCTCCTCCCCCTCCTCCTCCCCCTCCTCCTCCTCCTCCTCCTCCGCCTCCTCCTCTCCTCCCTCCTCCATCCTCAAACCCTTGGTTGGCACTCGACTCGAGGGCTCGAGGGCAAGTCGAAGCCTCCAGGGCCCCTCGTGACCTCATGAGCCTCGGAGGAGGAGAGCAGGGTCAGGATGAAGTGAAGGAGGAGGGGGGAGGTGGAGAGGAGGAGGAGGAGAGGCGGAGCAGGAGGAGGAGGAGAAGGAGGAGGAGAAGGGAGGAGGAGGAAGAGACTTCTCGAAGCGGCAAGCGTATGTCTCTGAGCCTTCGTGGGTCGAGCGGGCCATCCTGGAGCCTTTGGGCATTTGGGCAGTTGTTCAGTTGTCATTGTTTTATTGTTTGTTTTCGAGCGTCGGCCGCGCCGAGCCAAAACGTGCCTGGAATGCGCCCAGATCGAACTCCTAAGCTATACAGAAAATGAGCGATCGACACTGCTGCAGAGCTGCTGCTGATTTGACATCCTCGTTATCCTCTCCTCCACCTCCGCCTCCTCTCCCCCCTCATCCTCGGCTCCCTAGCAGCGGCGTCGCAAACCCCACGTTGACGCTATCTCTGTTGCTGCTGCTGAAGCTCAGGGCTCGCGCGCTGGAAACCTCGAAACTGTCTGCAAAACAAACTTGGCGACTTGTCGCTTCGGCCGCTTCGGCGGTGGCCGCCGGCCGCCGCGTTGCCGCCACTAGGCCCGGGCGACGGCTGGCGACGGCATCGGAAGAGTCGGAAGAGAGAGATGAGCGAGAAAGGGAGGGAGGGAGGAGGAGAGCCCCTCTCAGAGCCCGGCCTCGCTAGATGTCTGGACGCTCGTTCGCACGCTCGCTAATCGGCGCTACCCCGACGCCGCGCGTTCGAGTCGAGTCGAG